AAGCAACGCCACGTCGGTACCGAAAAACGACGAACCGCGCGCTGCGTCATGCGTGAAAACCTGCGCGCGCGTCAGCTCCGTGGAACGCTCAAGGAAATTTCTTCGGGGCATCTAAACTCTTGCCTCATATTTAACCCTCGCGGACAGCGGACGGCGCGATGGTCGCGCGCATGCCGAACGCCGGGTCACAAATGACCCAGTACTAAAATTTACTTCGTACGCAAGCGGAACCACATCTTTTAATTTACCAGGAATTGTATTGTTCAAAATTATACAAACAGGGACAGCAGATGGCGCCAAAGTCGCACGAATGGCTAAGGCCGGGTCACAAATGACCCAGAACCAAAATCTTTCAAGCGCAATCACATTTTTTATTTTACCAGGCGTGATTTTGTTTAAAATAAGAAACGTAGTTGTGATGTAAAGAGAGGAGAGGTTAACACTAGAACTACCGACCGAGCCAAAATGACCCATTAGCAATTTTCGAGAAAATGTGAATGTTCGATACTGGTAAGGTAAAGGTACCAGTAGTTGATTCTAGATTATGTAACAAGACCAATTTTTAAAAAAAGTTATGGTATAAAAATTTAAAACTTCAGTAATTGCTTCAGAAGTTGACCATTCTTAAAAATGAAGAAACTAGTAATTGACCACTTATACTAGAAGGGGGGTTTAAGCAATAATGTTATTTGTAACTTTTCGAATTTAGTTTCTGTTAGATACGAATCTAACTTTTCAATCGTGTTTTACTTACATAGAAATACATTTTTGGAAAGTCGCTAATGGGTCATTTCGACCCGGCCTGGTAGTTCTAGGGTTGAAACAAGAGACACTTGAAAGCTGGGTCACCGGTGACCCGGCAACCGTCGTTCGAAGGTTAAAACACGTCCACCTTGTCGGTAAGAAAGAGAGAGAGAGAGAGAGAGAGAGAGAGAGGGTTTTCTTCTTTACGAGAACTCTAACAACGCGTATTTTTAGAGTAGAGAGATATTGCTCGGAATTATGCAGCAGCCGTGAGCGTTAAATCGCCAGCAAGAATGCCGATCTTTGACCTTGCAAGCAACCTCGCGCTAAGGCTAATCCCTCGTTCCGCGTAATCGCGGCTTTGCATCGGCGCGTGCTAAACGGCCCGCGTAATGCCGCGGATACGCGGGAAAAGTGCCGCGCGATTACCGGAATTTGAATGGTAAATCGTGCTTCCGACGAATCGTTGGGTATTTTGATTTAGGGGAGTGGAAAAAGAGGTGTGTAATAATGGACGTGTATTGGGTTTGCGTGGAAATTTAGCGGTGATTTTCAACGAGTAGTGATTGAATAGGGTTTCACTGGTAAAACGCGCTAACAAGGGAAGTTTGGTAATTGGAAAATTAAAGAAAATTTGAAACTTTTGAGAAATGTAGCTCAAGTGACGCTAATGACTAAATCATTTTTTGTCTAGGTAATGAAACGATCTTAGGGGTGAAAACGCTATCTTAAACAAGTTACGAGTTTCCGTATTATTATTAATATTTACGAAACTGTAGAGGACACGGAGAAAAAATTAAATTCACAGAAGTATGATTTGCGATGTTCTACGTCCGAAAAACATTTTTTTCAAAATTTATCTGGAGTTATGTAACAAGTAACACAGAAAATGATATATTCCATAGAATGAAAGCATAGAATAGGAACTTCTAAGTGGACGTCGTCATTTTTTTCAACAATATCTTTCCTTTCGTATTTCCCTCGATTTACATAATTACAGACTTTTGACACTTACGATTTGCATTTTTAGGGACTGTTACTTTTGGCTAATATGACAAGTGGAAAAGGAGGACAAACTATTCAAATTAACTTTATCAATTTAAACAGTCTTCAAGTTTCCCAAGTTAACAATATAATTGATCGCGTGAAAAGAAGAGAAAGATTCTACTGTGTCCTATCTTCGGGAAATCACAGAGACTAAGGATTGAGACGAGAAAATTTTTATTATAAAATTACTCCTGAAAATCACACCGATAATTCCCGAACGACGATTTAAAAATAATTTTAATAATTAGACATAATATAGTTATGGCTATCACAGTTTAACTTGACCAAAATACAGAATCTTCTTCTTCTTCTCATCCCTGAAATTGCTTCGATTTAAAAGTATCTACTTATTACAAATACCAAAAACTTACTAGTTTGTCAACATTACGAAAATTCCCTAGAAATCAATATTTATCATTCTCCACTCGAAATTTGTACAAAGATCGTTCCAAAAAAAAGGCATAACAAAACAATTTGTTGAATTTTATTCATCGCCGTCCAAATGCATTCAAACCGCAACCATCGACCTCCAATTCGAATTACAAATATCCCGCCACGAGTTTAGACCCGGACAGTTTCACGGTTAACAAAAATGGTGAAAAATAAGAAGAGAATCACGGGAAGACGCGAATCACGATGCTTCCAGCGATCGATTCCTCCGAAGCTCCCACAACGATATTCCATTCTTCCGAGAAATTAACATCCGGCAAAAACGCATCCCTCTGAAATATACAACAGGGAACACGGTTGCAGGCCGATCCGACGACAACTTTTCTGTGGTAAATTTTTGCCAGATCCCGGTCAGTAATTCTTTTAAAGATCTCTCCCTCTCTCTCTCTCGGAAAGTCCTGGCAGACCTGCAAACCAGTTCAGCCGGGAATCTTTCCGATGCTCTGTTCTCTTGGACACGGAAGTGAAAAACGCGGCGAAAGACGAAGAGAAGAAATCGTTCGTAGCATCGTTCAAGGTTAACCACGTGGATATAGGCGTAGCCACTGACCAATGGCGTAGCCGGAGGATCGATGTAACCACTGAACAACCGTTAAGCCTAATGAACGGCATTTACACCGTGTACATTTTTTTCATCGACCAACTATTAACACACGTCGCGTCCCGTTCTACGTTTCGTGACCGTTTCATCGATCGACATGTCACTAAGAGAGAGAGCCGCAACACCAACAAACCGGTGTCTCTTTCAGATTTTTACAGACCCATTTTCGTTGCACACCGACACCGTACACCCTTGTTTTCTACCGTTGCGTATCTACCATTGTGTACTCTTCTAACCGAACGGTTTGTATACAGGGTGTCCCAAATTGTTTTCGATCAAACTTTGCAGGTGTGTTCTATGGGTGTAGGTGAGGAAAAAATGTTATGTAAACATAGGTGGTTTGAGGCTTCGTTGAAGAGTTAGAAGGAGAATAGTAAATGGTAACGAACTTGCGGTTGCTATGATACGAGATACAAATGGCGGTGGAAAAAGTTATATTCAATACTTTTAACGACCTCAGATCGTAAATACAGTTTGAATAAACAGGCTAGATGTACATATCGCTGATCTATTCTTACTTTTTATCATAACCGCACATCATATTTCGTATTGTTGCTGTAACTTTTTAACGAAGCTTCAAATCACCTATGTTCATATAACATTTTTCTCTCACTTATACCCGTAGAACGCACTGGCAAAGTTTGGTAAAAAAAAATTGGGACACCCTGTATATAGCAATTATTAGCTTCCATTTCGAGACGTGATCGATTGTAATTTCTTCTTCTTCTATGAGCAAACAAAAGTGTGCTTTGCAAGGGGCTGGAGTTAATGCTATTATTGAATTGTTATGCAACAAAAGAAAACAAGTTTAATGTCAGTGGAAATATATTGTAAAATATATTTAGATTTGTAAAATCGAGAAACTAAGGCGAGCACTGTTAGGTCTTGTTCGTGCATTAAAATGATCGAGCAGTAAATAAGTTTAACACGTGTTACCGTTAAAACAATCGTAAAATAAGAAATTAATATCGGCTGTGTGCATGCTCGGAACAGTGAAACGTGCCGATGGACACGATTCACGAGATCGTAGAACGACCGCTGTAAGTCAATAAACGTGTCGACTGGTGAATTCGTGACTGCTTTTTTTTCTTCTTCTTCGCAGCACACAGTAACGAGTGTGCAAACGTCTGTTTGAAGTTAGCCAATAATTTCACGTTGTTTGGTATTGACGAAATTTTCATGCTTATGCAAATATTTACACATTCAATCGTGTTTGAATTAGTGTATTCTTTTTCGGTGCTAAAGTACCTACTTGGCGAGGAAAAAGGCGAGATTGTTCGAATGCTAAATTTAAAACCTGTTACAATCCTTCTTAATATTTTTCCACGTTTCGGGAAAGTGACGACTAATCGAAAATTATTTTCATATTTCTATGACAATTTCACTGTTATTCAAAGTTTCGTACACTCTTCAAATTCAGAAGTGCGCGCAAACTGACTATTTTGCCGTTATCGGGGAAATGAAAATTAACCAAAATATTTCCATGTTTCTATAATAATTTCACTTTTCAATTTCATGTAGATAACTACTGTTTAAATTCACAAATCTCGAAGCAGATAATTTTGTCATTATCAGAGAAACAACGAAATTTCACACTCTGCTTAAAAATTCACCAATCTAATATCAACAAGCTCAATACTTTATGAAATACAAAATATCTCCACTGCGATCTAATAATCTCCATCCTCACCATTCGCGAAAAATATCAAAACACAAAAATCACATCAAACTACTTCAAAAAATCTACAAACAGCCAATTTCCACTAATCCAACATCAAAAACCATAAAATACCTTCGCAGCGATCTAACAATCTCCGCCGTCTGAGCATCCAACTTCATCTTCCACAAAAAAAAAAAAAAAAAATTAAATTCCCCAAAAACCGTAATCCCGAAAAGTCTACTTACACATTTCCCAAGCAAGAATCCTCCAGCTGAGATATCAGTGACAATGATTACCACTTTAAGATTCGAAATGACATTTGGCTGGCAGAACGAGCAGCAGAAGGGCTCAAAGGGTTAAGATCAACGAGCTGGAAACGAAGTGGGACATTTGGCGGCTTCCTTTTCTATACAGCCCGCATTTTCTTTCACGCGTACGCCTCAGACGGCGGAGATAGACGCGAGAAGGGGGTAAGTATAACCTTGAGGACATAGTTACCTTCTCCGTTGGTGGTAAGGGAGCCGGGAAGTGGCAGGGGTGTGCTGTTTTTGCACCGACGTTGATCCCCTTCGCTGGGCGCACGATCTGAAAATAAACGGCAACCCCTTTAGTATGCTTCTTCCCTCCTGCGCAAGGATCTCGTTCTCTCTTTCTCTCATTTTCAGCTGTCCCCTTTTTCATACCAGACACACGAGACTGTTCTACTCGCGTTCTGGAGAAGGCTCACGTGTTGCCCCGTTTTTAGTGAATAGACAGAATCAGAATGACGGTATCGAAGTAATAATTAACGGTTTGTTAGGCAGATTGTATCTGACTCGGTTATTCGACTTTAACGCTCAATTATTCCTATTAGCTCGCTCTCTCCATTCTGTTCTCCACGCCGGAGGGAAAAGTTTGTTTACGGAGCGGTGAACACGATGACGTTTCTAACTTGCACGAAATAATTGATGGATTGTTGATCTTATTAGTTGGTAATTCGGTGTTCCTGGCGTTTTAACGATACCGAGTGGTACGTTAAAGGATCTTGTCTTTCTTTTTGCTTAATGAGATTAACGTTTAGTCTAATTTAACGTAATTATCAGTTTGCTAATTCAGGTATCTGGAGGTATTTTGAAGGATCGATAGATACTATTTCATTCGTTGTTCGTACGAGTTAGGTACATTTAGATATTATTTTTTCTTGGAACACAATTATTCGTGTACCCTGCTGATTGTATGTTTTGCTGAAAATGACCAAAGAATGAAAAATAATATTTTACTAAAAAAGAAGTAGAACATTTCCTGGACGTCCTGAGCTATTTGAAATTTTTGGGCAATTCTATGTGAATCAGAGAAAAATTCAAACTAAGCCTGTCATACGTGATGCTCCTATAAAATCGTGTTTTTTTCTGGAAACAAAAAGAGCGATCTTGATAATTCTTTTTAATCTTTCTAGAAGATCGTAGAAATTTTAAAGTTCGACTGAAAAACATCTACAATAATTTCAATTTACCTAAACCAGTATCAAAATTGGTTCCCAGTATAAAAACTTTCTTACAGGAAAAAAGTTCAATTCAAATCGAAACGATCATACGAGAAAAAAATGAACTTTATTCTTGTTCTGTCAATTTTATCCTCCCCCCCACGGTTTTCTTAATAAAAACTGCAGCAATCGTACAACCTATAATTATACCAAAGCAACGGTTACTTAACGAAATACGACAGTAACGATAAGTGAACTTGTCGTGAAACCATAAATCAGAAAAGTCCTGGTAAAAGGTAGGAAATAAATCTAGCTAGAGCGTACTACTACCGAATGACGAGCGAGGCTTCGAAGCTGACATTGTGAATCACGTTGGCGTAGAAAGAACCATCGACATCCGTGGTGCTTGCTCGAATGGAAACAATTCTAAATGTTGCTTTCCCATCTGGAACTAGTTACAACAGGTTAAACCAAGGGGATGAAACGTCGCTATCTCGATATAGAAGCACGCGTCCTATTTATAAGCTCAAATCCGAAGTGACCAGAAAGCCAAACACCGCGACTGCTTCGAAGAATCGGTAATGGAGTGCTAACATCGCGAAGAGAAGAGGGGCTCTGCTACTGAATCCCTATCTAAGGCGGTTCAACTCGTGAACACATTCGATCAGGACGTGAAGATTCCGAATTTTATTTGTGCCCGGTGATTATGAAAATAATCCAAGTCGCGTGTTTCTCTTTTCGAGATATTTCGAAGATTTTCTTGTGGAATAATGAAAATATGGGTGGATGTAGAGGATAACTGTGAGATAGCCATGGAAACTCTG